GATTAGCAATTAAAGAGAAAAATAAAATAAACAAAAGATCCAGGCTTGCTCACAATTCCATCTCCAAGCATCAGGATCTTACAGGCCTGCTGTGAATTGGTTTTAACACCCTACAGACACAACCAGCTTTGCCATGTAAAATAATTAGTACAAACTCTGACAAGTATAACCTTTTCTATATCAGTATTAATGAAGGAAGGGTCAATCCACAGATAATTCCCAATCATGAGACCTTTGAAACAGACGTATCAAAGTCTGACTACTTTGCCAAGCTCGAACTACTTTCAAACAAGCTATCCTGTTGGTGGTTTCAGGTTGGGAACAAAGTAATCCTCTTATAGTTTAGCCAAGATTTAGTGTTATATTACTATCTATAAAAATATATTAAGTACTTTTACAGCTACATCATTTCATCTCACCTTTACAAATATGCTGCAAAGTACTGGGCAAATATTTTACCTAGATAAAGAAATTGAGGCTCAGAGATCTTTAGTGAAAACTAGAATTAAAACCCAGAATTTTATGAAACAATTCAAAGTCCTTTCTATAGTACCATGCAAACTTTCCAGAAAGACCTTGTGTGCATATATAAAAACAGAATAAATAGTATTACTTTAGGTATCAACTAACTCTAAATTACTCTAGATTTTGGATTAGAATCTAATGTTCTACTTTTAAATAAATAAATAATTAGAGCTAAACAGTTTCAACCTGCTTTTAAATTCAAAGACCTGATATAATGTACTGCATTTATCATCATATGCCCATCACTACGAAATCTGTCAAGGAGAGGTATCTACCTAGATCTTTTTCCTGTTTAAAATAATGTGAAGCATTAACTGCTTGTCCAGAGATGAGTACCCAGAAATAAGATATAAACCATTTTCAGGGGAAAACATGCATGAATTTATTTTTAAGAATTCCCAATAAGGGGGGAAAAATTCAACATCTTTAAAAATGTGTTTATTTTTTAAAAAATCAGTTGTGTACAAAAGTGTTCCGTAGTTTTTAATTCTCAAGACAAATACCCAACCCTCCTCCACCCACCCTGCTTCAATGGTATTTCTGGTAACCCACCCATATTCCCCTTACAGGAAGTTAACGGCTCAGAATAGACCCTCCTACAGAATTTATCATTACTAACAGATTGTTTAGAATAGAGATCTAGAGAAGCTAACAAGCAAGGTTCCCTATAACGGCAGTATACTTCCAGCAGACACCACAACAAAGCACCATCAATTGCTGAAAGCTAAAAAATAGATATCATTTTCAATAATATTTCATTTTCTATTGGAAAAGTCTTTAAATTACATTAAATAAGTCTCTTTCCCCCCAAAGAAATAGGCTAGCTTTTATTATGATGCCTGTAAAAAGTGGGTAACAGCAAGCAGACAAGGATCGTTAACAGCACAGTGCAATGATTTCTATCCACTCACCCTTAAAATCAAACTACACAAACTGTGCCACACCTGATTATATATAGCAGCATGGTTCAAATGACCAAGCAAAAGGTGACACATTCACACCTTACATTTAGGTGCTGACTGCAGGTTTATGAGGGCAGATCAGTCCAATAAAACGGTAACAGAACAAACAGAACCAGGGAGATACTAACACTCCCCTATCCCTATGCCACAGATTTTTCATCTATATTGCAAACAGTGCAAATAGAACATGTGACATAATATGTAGACACCGAAGAAAAGTCACACTTGGGAATAAAGGCTATTTATCAGCAAATACTTCAAGTTGCCTTCTTCCCAGTGACAGCAACTGGCTGATGGCAGGCATTTATTTTTAAATGTTACTAAAAGAATGGAAATGCAAATTTTTAAATCAATGGTCTGTACCCTGGAATTGAAATTCCTTGAACTAGAAAGGGTGATTAATACAACATCATTTTGTAAAAGTCCATGAAATAAAGTTAATTGTAAACAGACGGCTTCTTTCTTCATATCTGAACATTGTTTCCATCTACGTACAAGAAGATATACCTGGCTCCAGCTCTTCCCTGCCCCAATCTATCTTAAATCTTTAAAACAAAATCAAAAATTCTTAATTTCCTGTTTTGTTACATAGAATTGTAAAACCATTATCATACTCCTACCGCAGAGTTTTAAAAACTCAAATCAGGCATACACTTATATCCAAGATCTACTTCTCACATTGGTAAACTTATTAAGCAGCCTAAACAGTAATACAATATGCTGCATTCTGTAGTGCATAAATAATCAAAATCCATTTTAACTGCCAATTCTTTCTTATAGATACTTAAAAAGAATTATTTTGCATAGTTTTAAATGCCACCAATAATCACAAATGTGAAATACTCCAAAAAAAAAAAGAAAAAAAATCAGTCTTACTTTCATTTCATAGATTATTCTCCTCAAAAGCAAAATACTCAAGACTCCAAATGTTTATATATCCTTGATCGTGGTATGTGTTTAAGTAAACCACAGTTTACTTAACCGCAATTCTAAACATTTGGGGGAGTCAACTCAGAGCATCTAATTTAGTACCAAATTCCTTAAATATTTATATACTATTGTATACTTATTTGGGTCACTAACTGCTATTCATTTGCTCATTCAGTAATCTGTACTGAAATACTATATAGCTAATTATTTCTTCTTTTAAAAGTTAGGCACATACTTAGGAAACAGGCCTGATTATAATAAAATGGGATTTTACTATATTTTTTCCAAACATAATTTTTCAGGCTTTTAAAACTGACAAATCCTAAAACATTGAGAACTATAAAAATAATCTTCACCAGGCTACTTTTTCCCTAGGCTTGAACTTTTTCCAAACACATTTAACACCAGAGGAAAAAAGCAATTGCCTTAGTTCCTGTGTTTGGGGAACTAAATACCTGCAGAGATGTGAAAAGCAGAAATAAAAAATCAGAAGTACAGTGAGAAATATACCAGAAAGGAAAAAAAAAGATTATCACATTAAATGTAAATGAGGTAAGTAAACATTTATAAGGAAGAATCCATTATGGAGAACGTCTTAAACCAAATACAAATATTGTACTTTCCTATTTCCTCGGCACTGGGGGTGTTGAAGTGCAGTTAGATGAGCAGATACCCTATGGTGCTAATGTGTATAAAAATCAAAGCAAGATATAGCTGCCTCCAAGAGCAAAGTATGTAATGTTTGACCTTTAGTAACCTCTGAGCTCTCTCTCCTTTGTCTAACCACAGGACAATTAAATATACCCTGATAATACAGACAAAAAATAAACTGGGTAGATGGTTTGATATTTTAAAAAATTCAAATATTACTAATATTACCAAGCCACTTTTCACTAAGAAAAAATTAATTCTAACCAAAGATGGAGAAAAATTGTCCACATTTTCACACAATCCCACCTTACTTCAAAATATAAAGAAAAGTACAAGGTTTCAAATATTTAAAATAAATAAAGAAAAATCTTGTTTCCTTTGGCATATTTAGAAAATAACGAAACTACAGCAATAAAAGGAGGTGATTGTATAAAGACTTATGCTTAAGCAAACATACGGGGGAAAGACAGCAACTGTGTTTAGTATGGAATAATATCAACTACAAGAGCTAACTATTAATTAAGAAAGTCTTACAAATTTTTGGAAGAACCCTCACATCTTTAATACTACAATATATTTAATAATGGTTCTTTTATTGCTTCTAGTATCAAGATTATTGAGAAGTCAAATGAAATTATGCTAACTTTATGGTTTAAAAATTACTTTCCAAATACTTAACGATTATAACTTAAATAACACTTGAAGAAAGCAAACCTTTTATAATATGACTTTCAATATACAGCCTTACTTTAATTCATTCTGAGTCCATTACATTTTCGTTATTTTGCATTGGTCCTGAAAATGTAAAAAGAATTCTACTTCTATGTATAGAACTGCCTGCATAAATCCACTCCAACCTTCATAAAATGGTCACATTAGTGTTTGAGCTTGCAAACTAATAATTTTCAAACTTTGAACTTAGAATGAAATGTAACTTTAATACAAATAGAAAGTCTGACTATGTACAAGAGAAGGTAAAGTTTTCAATTCTCGTATTATCAGAAACATCATAAAGAAAGCTAAATTTATAACACACTTCTATTCCTATGTGCATTTGAAGTATGTACAGGAAAACACCAACACAGCTTTCATGTGTCAATATGGGGAAGTGCAAGCAACAGTGACTTTTGAAGTATCCAATAAAGCAATCTCTATAAAGCCCAAAATTAGGCTAAAAACTACTGGAAACGGTTGATTATACCCTTGCCAGTTCTCAAAGAAAAATTTCATCAGTTTAAAAATATATGTCAAATTCACTGGAAAACTAAGTTGGGTTCTTTCATTAAGTCTGGGAATACTGTAATGTCAAGAATTTACTGTTTTCACAAAAGAAATAAAATTGGCGGCTCCATTTTTACATTATTACTTACTTACATAGGAAAACTTTAAGAGTGTTTGAAGAACTGTGACAAAACATTCCAAACCTACGACCTAAAAATGGAGCAAGGGATACTGTCCCTCGGCACATTTCCCCACCAAATACAGAGAAATTTACCATTAGAATGTTAGCTGTGTGTGGTGAGAGAGGAAAAATAGATATGGTGTCCCAGTCTGTTGACAAGGACAAAAAGGCTCTGAATAGGTCACCATCTTCAATTCTAGATAAATCTCATATTTAAGAATTCTCAAATGCTTAAAATGGTGGTCTTTTCAGCTACCCATCCTAAGAAGTCAAATACAAGCATGCAAGTAAATTCACAGGCACAAAGGATCCATGTTAAAAACAGTTAAGGTAGCTGTGATGCAACACCAACAATTTGAATGGCCCTGACACACTCAAAATATTATCTTAATTATTCAACAAAATCCTGAAGCAAACTCTTGCTAGTCTTGGTACACTGCTAAACACTAAAGTAGCATGTTTTTCCATGGTTTTAGCTTAGCTCAAAGAATTTTTACACTATTAAGAAAAAAAATTAAAGTATTTCCCCCTTTTAAATTTACACAGACGTTTAATTAGCTTTATTTACAGAGCAGGGATTTTTTTTCAGTCTCCAATGGTGCCTAGATAACATCATTAGGCAAGAATGCCAGTTTAAAAGAAATTTATGCAGAATCCTAAAAATAACAGATGTTGGTGCTCCTCAAGAAGAGGCAAGCTTGACTATATCAGCAGCTCTCTTTCTATGCCTCAGTTACTCAGAAGCAATTCTGTTGCAGTCTCTACATCCCATGATTTTGAAGACAAGGCCACTATTACTGCATTCTGTAGAGAAGAAAAGGGGACAAAAAATCAAATCTCAAGAAAACATTTATATTGAGAAATCACATCTTATTTCTATTCTTTAAGTTGCCTTGTATTTGCGGTGCATATAAGCTTCTAAAAATCAATGACTGGAATCAGCAAAAAGAAAAATCACTGATTTTAATAACAAAATTTGTTTACCAAAATTAGATTTTCTTATTTTCAAAACCACTTTTGTCAGCCAAGGATTTGCAGCAGTAGTTTTAAATCCATCAATACATCAAAATCAAAGTATCATGTACTTACCCTATCAAAGCCCATAGCACATAGGTTTTCTATTTTTTTGGTGTATTCTGGACTAGAAACTGGTGCTCCAGCATACACATGTGCCCAAAGTCGAGCTGTCTGTTTGAACATTTCCGGATTTTGTTTGTACTGTATGAGGAGGAAAAAATGGATTGACATGACAATACGGTTATAATATTTGATATGGTATCTCAGCTCTTAATTACCTAAGACCCTCTTTTTTCCCCAAATAAAACAAATTTACATTTAAAATGTGATTCCTTTTCCATTAAAGACAAGTTATGTCACTTGAGAAAAGACTATTTAACCTGAAGCTTTTTTTCCTTTTTTTTGAGACAGAGTCTCGCTCTGTTGCCTGGGCTAGAGTGCCGTGGTGTCAGCCTAGCTCACAGCAACCTCAAACTCCTGGCCTCAAGCAATCCTTCTGCTCAGCCTCCTGAGTAGCTGGGACTACAGGCATGTGCCACCACGCCTGGCCTAACCTGAAGCTTTGATTCACAAGTTGTATTGACAAAAAACCGAAACAAAACCAAAAGATAATTAACATTAATCCACTTTAATTTCCAAATTAAAAAAATATAATTAGCAAAAAACAAAGACTAAGTGAGGTATCATAGATGTTCTAAACTCTGCAGCAGCAAACATACAACCAACCACAGAATTATAAGCTTGTAAAATTATGTGGACATTAGCTAATAAATGTGACCAGCTTTTGTGCTAACTACAGGTCACGCTAGAATACAATTCTATTTTCTTCTATTGTTAGAGCTGTAATAGTGTACAGTGATTGAGGGGACCTTCACATCCGAAGTCCTAACTTATTGGCTGAGCACCGTGGCTCACACCTGTAATCCTAGCACTCTGGGAGGCCAAGGTGGGAGGATCGCTTGAGCTCAGGAGCTCGAGACAAGCCTCAGCAAGAGGGAGACCCCATCTCTACTAAAATAGAAAAAACTAGCCGGGCGGGGGGTACCCGCCTATAGCCCCAGATACTCAGGAGGCTGAGGCAAGAGGATCACTGGAGCCTAGGATTTTGAGCGAGACTGTCTTAAAAAAAAAAAAAAATCCTAACTTATAACATGTTTTGAGATGATTATGAACTCACAATAGAGTACTTTTAAAAGTTAAGACTTCCAATATGCATTGGAAAGAGGTAAATTTATTCTCAAATACTCTTGGACCACGATTACTTATTAAAGCAAAGTATAAACAATAACTATTCATTTTAATATTTCTTTTTAAAGTACTTTATACATTTTGAATATTTTAAGACAGATAAGTATCTATTACATATTAAAATGATAGACCTCGTTTCTACCATTAACTCATAGCAAGGAAATAGGTCAAATTATTGAACTATTTTAGGAGCTAGAAGAAATCTTTGACTCTAACCTCAACCTGTGAGGCTTAAAACTAAACAGAAAATCAAAGCTGGAACTCAAGCCATGCTGTTTTTAACAACCAAATAGGAATAAACAGCACATATATTAAACATGAAAAACCATAATTCCAAGCACTCTTGGGAAAAATAATAGAACATATTAACAAAGACATATACCTAAAATAAGAAGTAAACATCTTCAAGGGAAAGGAAGAAGAGAAGTTTCCCAGAAGAGATAATATGTAAATTAAAATCTTACAGGATAAAGAAATCTACTAAACTTTTCCTACTGAGGAAAAGTTTCCTAAAGTAAAGGAAATATGACAGATTGGATAAAATGACGTGTGCAAATAAATGCAATGATTGAAAAAGCATGAGTTTGAAGAAAACAAGAATATAGGAAATGAAGCTAGGTTTGTAGATAGTTCAAATCATGGAGAAACTCTGAAAACTGAAGACACTTGGACTCTAGTAGGTGATAGTGGAGCCATCAAAGTTTTTAGTAGTAAAGTAAAATAAATATTTATACTTCATAAAACTAACTGATATCGGCCGGGCACGGTGGCTCACGCCTGTAATCCTAGCACTCTGGGAGGCTGAGGTGGGTGGATCGCTCAAGGTCAGGAGTTCGA